TATAAACGAAGAAATAAACAACAGTGAATACTATATTACTAAATGGATTTTTTTTAATTTTAATACGAAAAGAAATATTGGTTGTACATTGTTTAGTTAGTATGTTATATTTTAAAATGAATATTCGTTAAACTTTATCACCATATTTATTAACTTAATAAAGTGGTCGTTTGTATAGTTTCTTATCCGTACAGTATGTGTTATAATTGTAGCTGCCAAGTGTCAGAAAAAGAAAGTTCTGGTCACATGTGTATACGTTGCAAAACACATAATCACATGTCGTTAAAACGATTTCTTAATAATTAAATATGAAAGTTAAGCAGCAAGACATCTTAAAAGTGTAACTTAGATCTTGAGGAACACTAGTTATAATAATTTACTCCAACAAAATTTATCAGGTAACTTTTTTTTAAAATTCTATTATTAATATAAAATATTTATCAGTTTATTAATTATAATTTTTGTTGAGAAATTTAGATGATTACTTTTGTAATGATATGTCATGATTGTTATATTTTGAAGAATCATTAACTAACAATAAAATTATTTACATGCTTAAAATTTTATACTCATCATACATAGATATGTATACTATAACATGTATGTAAGTATAAATACAACTAAGAAACTCTATAAATATATATAATATATGTCCAGTCATCCAGTATAAAGTAATATAAAATTATCGGTCAAATTCTACTATACAAACCATTAAAAATAGTCCAAGTTAAGATTGCACCACCAAAATAGCCCTGCAACATCTCCATGAAGCCCACTTCAACTAACTGTATCTTGCTCCCATGAAAAATCATAATTAATGTGGTCCAAATTACATGGAAAACACACAACGGTAAGCTAGATTTCAAAAATATACTAATATAGGAAAGAACATTTATATTACTCACCAATATGTAAACTAATCAAAATACTTCACAGTTTACAACATTCAACAAACAACACAACACCAATATGTTTGAAAGCTACACACCAAGACATATCAAACAATAATATACTCATATAATGCAAATGAACATACCAATCAATGACACATCATGTGCATACACCTCAACTAATATATCGTCATGCATTGACCTACAAAGATAACTTAACACACCATAGCAGTTTAAGTGACTTGAACCTACTAAACCAACCTAATTGTTTTCACACCAAAATGAGTTTGGTCAATCACAACTAAAATGGGATATCAATTCCTAACTTCTGATTTCTTGGGAGTCATCACTTACACTAGAAAAATTTGATTCCACCATTATGAATAATATAGTTGGGTATAGACATACCACAACTTTGACATGCATTATCAAGTCACATATGAAGTTAGCTTACTAACTATCTACAAGGAACTACTTAACCTTTTCAGTAATCAATTAAGGGTTGTAACCCTCAATTTCATACTTTACTCCACATTGATTAAGGACTTAAAGGAGACTCAACAAAATATACTCTAAGAGTTTCACACCTACTCAAGGAAGGTTTTAAACAATTGGCCTCCCAAAACAAGATTCCCTATATGGGATCTTCACTTTCTGAACAACATCAACTCCTCTAGTCCTAAGTCAATCAACATGCTTTATTGCCTACAACATTCTTAATATCAACACATCAACATACATCACCCTGAGTCAATCCATATAGAAATCAAATCACATCAATCATGCATAACATATCAATCCTTAACACCTCAACCAATAATAGCATAATAATGCCTAACAATGTATCCAAATATAACATATTAATGCTCAACAATTCATTCAATAATAGTCTATCAATGTTTGTTCAACATTCCAACCATGAAATTTATAACATATTAGTCATACATAGCATAATGCTAGAAAACTTAATCCTAATAGCATATCAATGCTTGTCGTCATCATCATCATACATAACACAACATGTATCAACATATAACTTACCAAAATCAACTATAATACAAAGATAACCTTCATACAACTCAACACAATTAGAGTTTTACTAATCCAATCAAACTCATCTTTATCTCATATGAAAGATAATAAGATTATCTACAACTTTTATGAAGATCTCAAGTCCTAACTTCATCATCTACTATAGTAAAAATCCCAAAAATTGCAACAATTTGCCTAAATCCTGACAACTTGATTTTTACTCACTAAAAAGGTCATAACTAGAGTTCTAGACCTCCTTTTTAGGTGATTCCAAAATTATTGGAAAGATAACATCTAGGACTACAACGTTTATGAAGACAACAAAGTCTAATTCAGAAATAACCAAGCTACTCAATCGTCTCAAAATTGCTTAATGGATTCCTATAAACATCCTTGATTCTAATCTCCAATTTTGCTTAGCTATTTCAAAACAGCTCAACCGTTTCCTTCTAGAGACACCTCCATTTCTCATTTCTAATTCTACTCAGCCATTTCAAAAAGGCTTAGTCATTTTATGACAGAGATGATTTATATTTTTTCGCAATTTTGGGGTTTCTAAACCTCTCTGTTCCATACAAAGCCTCCTACAAGCTCCAATCTCAATTCTAAACCATAAAAAACTTATCTAAACAACTAGAATCATCAATTTCCAACAACAAAACAACTCATAACAAGATTTTGTGTGCAAAATCAATGTTACCGTAGAAACCTCAAATACCACAAAAATCTCCAAGAAACTAAGAACATCAAGTCTCCTTGCAAATCAATTTAACATTCAAACAATTATGCATCTATGAGCATTCATACTATACATGCAACATTAAAATTCACACAATCATCCACCAAGATCAAGTCCTAGCTCCCCTTACCTCAATTTTGACCTCTTTGGAGGGAGAGAAAAAAAGGAAGAGAGGAGAAGAATCCCAAAACCTCCGTAGTTGCACCACAACTCTTTTTGCTCCTTATTGACAAGCTCTACGAACCCTTTATCATTATGAACCCCTTTCTTACATCTCAAACATGTATAGAATAAGAAGAAGGGAGTTAGTTTTGTGAAGAATGAAAAATTTCCACTGTCGCAACTTTTAGTTGAATATCCCATTTTAAATATGTTTTTTCTTATACAAGTTTCAAATTTGAGATTTTATTTAAAGAGACTGGATTCAGTATCACTTAGACCAATTATTTATTGATTAACTAAATTAGTTCATTTTAAATTAATAAACTATTAACATTTGATTAATTTTAATAATTATAGTTAATAATTAATTATTAAGTAATCTATAAGTCTACTACATTTTTGTAAACATTATATTTATGAATATTTTTTCTCTATTTTTACATGCACTTGTGATTTCAAAACTTCATGCCAACACAATGTTAAGGGTATATATTTTTTTTAAAAAAAATTTAGCTTTATAAAAATAGTGTTAATTTTGCACCAAATCAAGTAAATGTTTAATAATTTCACCCCAAATAATTTTGGTCTAAATATTATATAAATTTTAAAATTTAATCTATATATTAAGAATTTT